TTCAACCACGAAGACATCAGGGAAAACCAAGAAGAGGCAACTTCTATTAACTACATTTCAAAACACAAGGACGTGTTTTACGCGAAGGCGGAGCACGTGTTACGGTGTAAAATACGACTTCTATGACTTATTGTAAATTACTGTGAAAATTAACTTTTCGGACTTCGTGTAAATTGTTATAAAAACTTTTCGTTTATTTCGGCAAATGTGATAAATTCTACATATCCTTAATCCTACTTGAGGCACAGTCAGAGATGAACACTTAATCCCTTAATTGATTTCTGTTTATATTTATTGACACTTAATCTTTCATCTACTTTAATTCTATATATATTATATACATGCCGCTAAAATATCATCATTCGCTCAATAATTGTTTAATACCTGATTTCTTAATACTTATTGTTAATCCATTTATTTTGTTCTATCATTATTTAATATGTATGTTTTGTTGTGAAAAATTATAGTCAGTTGGAATCAGACCTTCGGTGCTGATACATCCCAAACTCATGTAGAAGTATATTCCATGCTGATTCTATATAAAAGTACAAAAATGGTAACTCCTGTCTGTGTCTTGAGGTTTTAAAGAATCTGGGTTCAACAATAAGAGGAAAACTCAGGGTTGGCCCAGAATTAGAATGTGACGGACAAATTCATACCGTAAAACAAGCTTATATTTGGAATAAAATACTTATTGTAGGTCCAGATTTTCAAAACAGTTTCTCTTTTCAATATGGACAAACCTAATATTTCGAAAAAATACGTTATAGTTATAAAACTTCTGAGCAAAACTGTGGCGCATTTATTCATTCGATTTTATATGGCTTATCTGGGACAATATCTGAAAATCTATGAAAAGGACAAAAATCTGATGCTATTTTCATGATATCTCGTGTTATTTAAATTTTTGAAGTGCTACCGATTACCTTAAGATGGTCCTAAGAAGCTAGTTCTTAAGATAGACATAGACGCTCTCCTAGGAGTGTCCTAAGAAGAATGGAATTAGGAGATTATTAAGATAATTCTTAAATATTGTAATATTACAGACTATGGTTATATGATAGAGAAAAAAATAATAATGGGTCTTTATATTTTTTTATTTACTTTTAAAAGTAAATTAGAGATGTTTAGTTATAAAACAGTCATTCATTTCAAAAAAAACTCTTATTAATTTAGTAAACAACTTAATTGGACATCTCAACCTCTCCCTCCTAAAATAGGGAAGAAAATACGAAAAACTTTTAAAAGTTAAGTTTGTTCTAGCTGTACATTTCCATGTATTTGCACAGCAAATTGGATAAGTAAATATTACATACTAGTAATTAACAAGCTTGCTAACAAATACACACTTTGACGAGTAATGCAGCGAACAGTATCTAGATAGGGAAATACTATTTCGCTAGTATTCACGACGTACTATATTTTTTTTAAGGGGGGGGGGGGTCAGAAAAAAAATCTCAACTGAAAAAAAAACGAAACAAACAAACAAACAAAGGGAGCCTCCCTTAGGACTAAGATATCTCTTACGATATATCTTAGTCACAAGATGGCTTCCGTAGCGTGCCAGCAGGTATATTATTTAATTGAATTAAATACATATAAGTAACCCCATTTCCTCTTGATTTTTGAAAAATGGCAACAATTTAGAAATTTGTGTAAAAATTTAGTATTTAAATTATGTTGCAAGGCATATTTTAACGGATAAAGATATATATATATCCTCTCCGAACTATTAATCAAAATCATATTAATTTGGTTCCATTTGAATGTCATTAACTAAAATAGTATTCAAATTTTAGTGATGGCTGCTGGTCTTGACTTTGAACCGCTGTCAAGTACTCATGACACGTAGAAATATGTATCATTGACCTCTGATTTAATTATTTAATAATAGAGCACAGGCAATAGTACAGGGGTACACATGTTCACACTTATCTGCAATGATCATTATATGCAGTGAAGAATATGGCAGGATGATAGACTGGGATGGGGTATTAGATTGAAAAATATAACTTATATTTAATAAAAAGAATCACAAAAGTAAGGCTTCAAGATTTTGTAAAAATTCACATGTCTAGATCCCTTTTCGAAAAAAAAAACCAAATGCTTGATTACAATCAGGTGATTAGAGGAATCGATATAAGCCACTTGTTTGAGCGGAAATGAAATAAAAATACTTAAGAGTTACTCAATAATGTACAGGAATTATGTTTAAATAGGGGAGGTTCATTTAAACTGGAAAGAATTGATCAGCTACATGTAAAAAGACTGCTGGTGAAATTGTAATGATAAAAGGGGCTAAATAAAAATGTCAAATAAATTAAGCAACAATAGTCATTAAGATAAGTATATGATAAGGGTTGACATTTGCTTGAGAATTAAACTCATAATATTTTGTTTCATTCTACGTTTCATTATTCTCGCAATTACCAAGTACTAATAAATCTAGAAGCACATGTCCGATAATTGCTTGACATACATCGAGAATCAGCAGATTTGATAGAATATAGAGTGTAGTCTAACAGTGTATTTTAATATTTGGAATAATTCCTACACTCATTTGCTCTCATCCAACCTTGCAAAACTATACCATATGCAAGTCATGTTCACCTGCAAAAGGCATTCTAGGTGAACATTTATTTTTTTCTGCATTGGACCAAAAATAAATCAAAAACTTCTAAATTGATACAGTTGGTTAAAAAAAAAAATCAGCTACACCCGATTTCCCGGAGAATATCATATTTATTTTTTCTATATAGTCCCACTAAAATAAGATCAATTAAAATATAAACATGTATAATGTTTATTTTACATGTAATCTCATTTCTCTCTTTAGACTATGACGTCAACAAATATAAACAATCAAATGGAAAGGATTGCTTAATTAATTTGTATCATTTCATCAACAATTATTGCAGTGTCCTAAAAATCAGCGACATATATATATATATATATATATATATATATATATATATATATATATATATATATATATATATATATATATATATATATATATATATATATATATATATATAATTAATCATTTGGTTTGTGATTGTGTGATTGTATATTTAGTCATACAGAATACTTTTTAATGCTAACACATTTTATATTTGTTTGTAAAGCAGCAACGGATTTCTAAAAAAAAATAATAATAAAAATAAAATAAAAAATAAAAAAAGGAGTAAAATTTTTAAACATTATGGAACTGCATTGTGCTGTGTAAAATTAATGCCGTACAACAATAAACTTAAATTTTTTTTTTTTTTTTTTTTTTTTTTTTTTTTCTCCAATAAAATTAATTCATTAACTTTTAATTTCTAGTAAACAAGTAATAACAAAGGAACAACGAATAACAACAGAAGCATTGCAAATTTACGATTATCAAGTTTTAAAAAGTGGATTTTTATTTACTTGTGAAGACTTTGTGGGCGGTATTTCAACGTACTATTTAACACGGAAAATTGACGTTGTTTGTTAACGTGAGCATGGGAAATCTTAACTAGTACCTATTCTTTATATTTTTCACCAAAACATTAAAAATTATTATTAGTTGACTTTCCCGCAGTCATTTGAAATTGCTCCTAAATTTGCCTGGCCCATCATGCTTTTCGGCTCATTCATTGGATTGGACCATTGTTTGCTGTAAGCACCGCTGTGCGCAATTACATCAATATCCATATAAGGTAGTTTAATCGCCCTGTTGATTGTATGTTGTTTTAGGACCCATTCGAGATTTTTTCACTCATATGAAGGGCTTTAAATTTTGACCTTTACTCGGCACTCAGGGCCATTGAGCAGTGAAGGATCTTTATCGTGCCAACGTCTGCCGTGACACGGAATCTCGGTTTTTAAGGTCTTATCCGAAGGACCCGTAACTTTCACTTCAAAATGCCGAGCGCATGGTGAAGGAACAGTTGCTACCCATTTTTATCGACTTAGGTCAGTTGCGGCCGAGATTCGAACTCACGACCTCCCGATCACGGAGCAAGCGCTCTACCGATTGAGCCACCGTGAACGGTTCATAACAAGTTAGAAGTTAGAAGCGAAATTGTATGTGGAAATAAGCTTTAATGTAGTCTGGTACCCTTCCCACAATTCCTTTCGCGCAGTCTCTACTCAATGTAGAGAGTGCGCGAATGGTATTATGGGAAGGGTGCCAGACTACTTTTCAAATTACCGAAAGTTATGGAAAAACAACGTCAGTCTACTTTACTGTGTCACGTGTTTGCAAAGCGGTAAGTATTGTCATCTATGATTCGGTATCAACTTACATGTATGTGCTAGGTTTTCTAATGCAGCAGTTAGCGTAGGACAATGTTCAAGATTGTAGATGCTTTGTGGCCACTACAATCTTGAATCCACCATGTACATAGAAGATGAATATCATTTTGTTTTAATATGCAAGTTTTATGTTGAGTTAAGAGAAAAATATATTAAATAATATTTTTACGCAAGACCTAGTATGGTAAAATTAATTGAATTACTTAATTCCGACTCAGAAAATAGACTTTAAAAACTTGGGAAATACGTGTTTGAATGTTTTAAAAAGAGGGAAAACTTTACTCTAAAGCAAGATTAATAATAGGAAATACTCCGGTATAGTTCGTTTTTCATATATGTATATTTTAAGTTATGTTATAAAGCACCTGTGTAACACCTGTTGACCAATGTTTATATTATGAAACTAATGTTATACTTTTGTGGCAATATATGCAATGTATACGCCAATAAAGATACTACTACTACTACATAATTTTTTCACGCTGTTGAAATTCTTTCACCCAACAATGAACAGAAATTAACGTTAAACACTAAATGCCAACAAAAACTATTACTGACAATAATTCAAATGATAAGGATGATTAAAATCGAACAATACGCACTGTTTCGAAAGAATAGAACACAAAGGTCGGTCACAGACATTGATAAGACTTATCAATTGGATACACATTGAATGATCATAAGCCATAGGTTGCTTTTATTCTATATTAAAAATGGCGTTCTTGTTTTTCATTTTTTATTTGCTACCTACAGTTTGTGCTTTCTTATTCGAGGGAAACCACGGTCATCCAGGGCAGGGATCGGGTAGTACGTAATAATTCTAATTTTCCTCAGAAATAACTGTTGTTCTGTTGATTTTTGTTGTTTTAAAATATAATTTAACTTATTCATCTAAGAGGAAAAATGTTATTGTCAACCCCCTTTGGTCGCCAACCATTGATGGGGGAATACAAAACAAATATAATGCTTAGACTTTAAAACGTTCTTTTCAATAAAGTCTATATTGGATTGATTAAAACGTCAGCTTTGTTTCTATAATATTACACACACGAGTATTGGCAAATAAAAAATGTAGATGTTGTAAACTGGAATAATAACTGATTTGAATACCCTTTATTCATACTTTTATCCATAGTGTATTACATAAACAAGGTAAAACTTGAAACCTTTTTGTATTTCTTATATTCATTTAAAAAAGGTATTGTAGGACCATCTGTATTTCAGCTGAGTTTTTCCCAAAGGACTGTCAGGACATTTTATGGTCGGGATATTCCGAGAGTGGGGTGTACACAATTTACCCTCAGGGTAGTGGACAACTCGACGTCTTCTGTGATCAAAAAACAGATGGCGGCGGATGGACGGTATGTCACAATATTTATGATTTATCATATTATCGTTTTACTTTTAGGAATCAATTTCGAATTACGCACTAATCAAATTTGTAATCAAATTAGAAATCCACAGTTTTAATACATGTCTCAGGCCTTTTTTAAATGTATGTTTACCCTCTTCCGACCTACTTATTAAAAATGGTCCAACATAAAAGTTTAAATTTCCAGAAAACGATTTTTTAAAATTCTATTCCGGAATTTCCTGATTCATTCAACAAATTTTTCAGATTTGTTCGAACCTTAAAATTCCATCAATTTCGAAAATTTGATATTTCATTTAAAAAATTCTGAAAAAATTCACTGCCTACAATTTTCTTATGGTCTGATCTTTTCAAACCCCGAGTCAGGAAAAGAAAATCAGACATTTTATTAAAGATGATCTTAGCCAAAAGGCAATTACGCAATGGTAAAATTTTAATTATGTGTATATCTATGGTCACTGCTTTGTACGGAAGCATTTTGCTGCCATTTGAATTTTTTTCCTATGTGGTATGTTCGAGATACTAAGTCGTAATAATGAGATAATTAGTCGTTTTTACCAGATAGTTGTAATAACGAGATGTTAAGTCGTAATTACGAGATAATGTAATAACGAGAAAGTAAGTCGTGTGTACAAGATAATGAGTCGTTCTTACGAGATAATAAGTCGTGATGACGAGATAATAAGTCATTGATTTTCGGCATGTTATGTTTAAATTTACAAACCACAGTTAAGGGCTATGACAGGAATGCATTAAATAACACAATTGTGCAACTCTTATTCATAAAAGGGTATCAAGTGCATGATTAATACATATTCACTGGCATAGCCAGCCAAAGTGTCATCATTATGTAAATGAGGCAATGGGGTAGGGATCTTATTAAAATAAAATCCTGAAGAAGCGCTCTCGGGAGTCAGGTGTGGCTAGTAGTTCTTCAGTTAACCTAGTACAAAGAACTGAATCAATTAGATATCTATCTTCCAGGCTCTCGTGCTTTGCTTTGTCAGACATATCAGAATACAGGAGCGACTTTTCAGAATAAATAAGCATTTAAGACCGAATTTGGGGTAGACTGTGAAAATCAGTCAGTAGAACCATTGCAAAAATTAATAAGCATGTAGAACCTGGTAATAAAACAGTTCGCTCAGTCAGACTTGTAAAAGGTCAATCAGAAGTTAGAAGGTTATTACTTATTAACTATTCGAATGGCGAACTGCATGCTGTGGCCGATTCCCTATTGAAATTACCACAATTGTCCTAATATTTCTTTTTCAAAAAAAAACTCGAATAACTCATTATAATACACGTTAAAGAAGCGAATCGAAGACTTCACTTAAAAAAGAAGAGAGAGGACCCCAAACCAGTTTTGTTAGTTTGAACAAAATGATGACAATGGATATAATACAATTAATGGGTTAACCTTGTGTCAGAGGCTGGTTAACATCCTGGATCCCATATTTTGACCTTCATTGTTATACAGGAGAGGGGTCTGTGAGGGACCCCTTGACTTTCAAAAGGAATTGAGGTTACAGGAGCGGTTACCTATTTAGCTAGCCCTGTCAAAATTGGGAAAAACCCGTATAATACAGTTATAAGAGTACATAGTTCTAGGGGCTAGCTAACATCCTCAATACCATATTTTGACCTTCATCTTTTTACACGAGAGGGATCTGAAAGAGACCTCTTGAGTTTTAAAAGGAATTGAGGTTACGAGAGCGGTAATCTGTTAAGCTATTCCGGTCAAAACTGGGAAAAAAACGTATAATCATGTTATAAAAGTTCATAGATTTAAGGGCTCGCTAATATCCTGGATGCCATATTTTGACCTTCATCTTTTAACAGGAGAAGGGTCTGGGAGGTACCCCTTGACTCTCAAAAGGAATTGAGGTTACAAGAGCGGAATCCTGCTTAGCTAACACGGTCAAAATTAAGAAAAACCCGTATAATACAGTTATAAGAGTACATAGTTCTAGTGGCCTGCTAACCACCTGGATCCCATATTTTGACCTTCATCGTTTTACAGGAGAAGGGTCTGGGGGGTACCCATTGACTGTCAAAAGGAATTGAGGATACAAGAGCGGAATCCTATTTAGGAAACCCGGTCAAAATTGGGAAAATCCCGTATAATACAGTTATAAGAGTACATACTTCTAAGGGCTGAAAAACATCCTGGATCCCATATTTTGACCTTCTTCTTTTTACAGGAGAGTGGTCTGGGAGGGACCCCTTTACTGTCAAAAGGAATCGAGGTTACAGGAGCGGTAATTTGATTAGCTAATCCGGTCAAAATTGGGAAAAACCTGTATAATAGTTATAAGAGTACATAGTTCAAAGGACTGGCTGACACCCTGGATCCCATACTTTGACCTTTGTCTTTTTACAAGAGAGGGGTCTGGGAAGGACTCCTTGGTTGTAAAAAGGAATTGAGGTTACAAGAGCGGTTACCTATTTAGCTATCCCGGTAAAAATTTGGAAGAAACCGTATAATACAGTTATAAGAGTACATAGTTCTAGGGGCTAGCTAACATTCTGGATCCCATAATTTGATCCTCAACTTCTTGCAGGAGAAGGGTCTGGGAGGGACCCCTTGACTGTCAAAAGGAATTTAGTTTACAAGAGCGGTAACCTGTTTAGCTAGCCCGGTCAAAATTGGGAAAAAACTCGTATAATACAGTTATAAGAGTACATAGTTCTAAGGGCTGGCTAACCACCTGGATCCCATATTTTGACCTTCATCGTTTTACAGGAGAAGGGTCTGGGAGGGACCCCTTGACTGTCCAAATACACATTAAAAGTCTGTCATGAACTTATGGCCGACACTTGAATTTAAAATAAGGTTAACTAATCATCACATCTTACTTTTGAGCCATCAAAATGGTGATCAAAATCTTCATGGTGTGTAAAATTTGATTTCGCTACATATACAGTTCTAAAAACTTTTCATGTATAATGTAGACAATTAGGAGTGCATAATATTGATAATTATGACAGTCAAATGAACCAGAGGAAATATATTCTTTATTCAACAATTTTTTTTTTTACATTTTACATTTGAAATTCAGAAAAAACGTGTGCAAAACGGGAAATTGGCCAGGTAAGATAATTACTTTATTGCTAATAGCATAGTTGGTAAATGGGAAATGTGAACCTAGGAAAATAGTTAGGTCGCTTCATACATGTTCCACGAAAACAGTGAAAATTTAATCCCACGAAAATTGGTGATTTCACAGTATACTTCATGGATATTGGTTGAAAATATTAATGAAAACCTACAACCGTAGACTCAGACGCACAGACCTTCGTAGAAAAAAGTATAATTGTATTTTACCATCTGTTTCTGAGGTCTAGGTACTTCATACTTTTCTTCTTCCATAAATAAGCAACAACCCAAAGACCGTTTCCTCAGACATAATATCGGTTTTAGGATTGCATTCAGCCTTCACTTGGCATAAAGCAATCTGTTCTTCTGTAACTCTGCATGCATGGCATTGATTGATTGATTGTATATTGCTTAACGCCGAATCGATAGTATTTCAGCCATACCTCGACAGTGAAGATTATATCATATAGCCGATATTAGAAATTTTTCGGGTTCCTCATGCTGTTACGACTCGGTACATGATATATCAGTCATACGACTTCGAATCCCTTTATAATGACTTATAATGTCGTTTTACGACTTAGTATCGCGTACATCCGACGTATTATCTCGTTATATCGACATTTTATGTCGTTCTTACGACTTATTATCTCATAATTACGACTGAGTTTCTTGTTATTACGACTTAATTTCTGTCGTACGATTTATTTTTGCATCTGCGATGCGATTTATTTTCTCAGAACTTCAACATACTATCTCGTTGTTACGACTAACCAAGTCAATTATAATGTATTGTAATTACAAGTTAATCTATGTTTTTTTTTCTTATTTACAGCTACGACTTAGTTTCTCTTTATTACCTAGTTTATGTGTTTGTACGAGGTAACATGCCGTTTGTAGACTTATCTGTCTCGTAATCACGACATACTATCCAGTTATCACGACATACTAACTCGTTATTACATGTACGACATACTGTGTAGTTTTTGACTCATTACCTCGCTTTCACGACTTTGTATATGTCGTTATTACGACTAATTAACTCGTTATTAAGATTTAAAATGTTTTTTGTATGACATAACATCTCGTAGTGACGATTATTATCTCGTACGCACGACTAAATATCTTGTTCGTACAACTAAGTATTTGGTATACGATATAACAAAATTATATTCAACTGGCAGGAATACGCTTCTTTAAGAGAACATTTCGCAAATTCTATACTCGATACAAAGATCATGTATGCAAATACAATCAATCGTTGAGTCGAATGCTGACTGACGTCGACTTTCATACAAATTGTATGGTCATTATTTTCAAATGAATTGAATGTGGATTTTTCCGTTTATCCGATCATGACAAGGGGCACACGGTGGGTGTGATCGGTCAACAGGGATATTTACTTCTCAAAGTCATCTGTTCTTAACTCTGATTTCAGAGGTCCGTGTTTGCTGTGCTCACAATTTATAATGTCTGATTTGACTTTTTAGAATGCTTACTGTTGGTTATTTTCACATTTTATAGGTCTTCATTGCTTTATTCACTCAAAGTTTATGTCACATTTTAGGTTTTTCAAAGAAGGAATGACGGTATAATTGATTTCTTTCGGAACTGGATTGATTACAAATACGGATTTGGAAATATATCGGATGAGTTCTGGCTAGGCAAGTCAATGTTGGATTGTTTATTGAATCAAATGTGATTTGTTGAGGTCCATTCAGGAACTCAATCATTATACATGGAAATACCAAGTACAAGTCAGCGATTTATGTTTAATTAAAATCAAATAAGTGTATATCATTTTTTTCTTGCAGGGAACCATCGCATTTATGAAATCGTCAAGCAGGGTTTCTATGAACTTCGCATTGATATGGGGGACTTCAACAGTGTTAGAAAATATGCCTTATATAGAAGATTTTCTATCGGTGACGAACATAGCGGGTACGTTCTGACTGTTGAGGACTACATTGGAGACGCAGGTAACTTTAACTGTCACGTATTATCTCGAACATTAGTTATTTTTTTATTTTATTTTTTTTAAATCAATGAACTATATGCAAACATTTTTATCCTTCATAAATTAACTCTGAACTTCTTTCAATCACAACATGTCTAGTTCATGTGCCATCTTGATTCAGGTGATTCACTTACCCGACACAGTGGGTACCAGTTTTATACTAAAGACCACGATTCTAATAGCTGTGCTGCCAGATATAAAGGGGGTTGGTGGTATGAAAATTGTCACTCATCCAATCTTAACGGACTCTATCTAACTGGTAGCCATGATTCCTATGCTGATGGAATTAACTGGTATTCCTGGCATGGCTATCATTACTCCTTAAAATTTACAGAGATGAAAATAAGGAGATTATAAAAATGACTATCTCACTGCCTGATTAAAGATCTTAAGATGATGAAATTTCCGTTGTTGTTTTTATATATGATTTAAGTTTTTAATTGCATTTTCTTTTATCGTGTTTCATTTCAAAAGTGGCGCAATATTCAAGTGTTTAAGATAATTTATTATATACAGCTGTTATGGTCAATAGTGTTGCACTCTAAAATATTAATTTTACATGTAATTAGTTTGATGAACGGTTTGTATCGGCTATATTCATGAGATTTTATATCTTAATCGACAAAGATAACACAATGCTTTGATTTCAAAATGATGTGACGTTTGTATAATTCTTTGATATACATGTAAGGTCTTTTACTATCGAATCATTTCGTGGCAATCAGTATATTTTATATTTAATTTTCAAATATTTACATCTTTGGTATCAATAAAGAAAACATAAATTCGTATTTATTTTGATTACGTTAATATACGATATGCAGAAAAAAATAAGTTTTTATTACTTTAAATCAATAATTTTTCAGTTTTCAGATTTCGATAATTATCATATTTAGAAGAAGAAATTATGCTATGAGAAAAATTAAATTGATTTAAGGGTCCCCCATATCACTGAGCATTACTTTTAACAAGTATATCAACCTTTAAAAACTGGCCAGGAAGAATTGAAATACATATATAATAAATACTGATTTTTTTTAATTTGATTTCATAGGTTTTAAGATATTTTTCCCACCAGGTTTTGATAAGTAGCACAACAAATTTTGTTCTTTCCTGTCATATATTATTGAGCACACATAACAACTGCTAAATCTTAATTTTATCAGTCAACATATTTTTTAAAGAAATTAATAAACGTTATAAAAATAAATATATCTCATTTTCTGTAAAATGCTTAGAAGAAAAATTAGGGAAGACTCCTAATAGTTTAGAAAGAACATAAATGATTTGAATTACGATAAGAAATTGAATTAAAGTAAATATCGATGTAAAAAAATATTTTCAAAAATCATTCGTATTAAAGTTCCTTTTAAAAGTTATCTTTCCTGTAACCCAGGAATCAAAAACTCAAGTTACTCATTATTAGGATGTAAATTGGACAGGTATAAATGAGCAAAGCTAGAAATGCATTCTATTTATACCAATGTGATTATTGAAATGCACAAATCAGTGTACAAAAATAACTTTCATATTTTGTTGACGACATTGAAATGGATTGTGTAGCCTGAAAGTATAAATAAATTAAAACGTTTTCTCATAGATATACTTGTTATTTACGAATTATTGGTATAAAATCTCAAAGGTCTGCTGTTTTATTTTTATTGAAAATTTGACACCTTTTTATTTCGGCCACACCACGACCATGCCATGTGTTCATTGTTTATGATTAGATGTCGCTTTCACGTTACTGTATACTTTTCCCTTGAAAAAACCTTCATCTGTAAAACGTTTGTTAGATTCTCTTACAGGCGGTGCCAGACAAATCATCAGTTTATAGACTATACAAAACCGGAAGTAAAAGTATTTTTTTCTCGATATACGTCTTAAGTTACAGGGTTTGGAGGATCCTTAAATTAGTACTTTGAAAAGGGTGATTTCCTTTTTTCCCGCTACGTAACTTGGTTATTTTTGGAGTACATATAAAGAGGGGTTTGCCAAAAGAATGTTGTTTTCCTAAATGTGCAAATGTGAAACGGTGTGATAATACTCCGCTTTGAGATATCCTAACAATAGAATAATATATATACAATTTCTAAAACGAGGTAAATTATTGACAAACAAGTTGATGAAACAAGAATATCAGCAGTCTCGTTTAAAGTCATCATTTCGTAAATTCTATGGTCGATACAATGACCTTGTCAGCAAATACAATTTATCATTGAGTCAAATGCTGACTGACGTTTTTCATACTAATTGTTAGGCCATTATTTTCACTCTGAATTGACGACGGTTCTTTCCGTTATTTCCCGATCATGACAAGGAGCACACGGCGGTTGTGACCGGTCAGCAGGGGTTGCTCACTCCTCCATGGCACCTGATCCCACCTTAATGTTTAATGGACATTTGAGCTTGAATACTGTTCGTTATCTCCATATATTTCATAAAGTTTCCCCATTTTGTCTTTCTATGTAACATAAAAAACATAATTATTCCAAATATTCAATTCGGACATAATCTTAAGGAGTCTAAGATCATTTTATCTTCATCTACTCCATGGAAAAGGTATTAAACAATATGAAGTGATTTATCAGTATTATTCAATAAAAGAATACCATGATTAGATAAAGTACAAACTGACATTTTTCATTTTATCTGAAATAACTATCCTGTTAAAGCGACATAGACACAGATTTGAAGTTAATATTTTCTCAAATTTTCTGCATAGTATCATGATTTATATGTTGCTATAGTATTTTCCACGGAAATATAATAAAAAAAAACTTATTTTATCTCGAAATTATCGAATATCGAATTTCGGGATGTGTTTGATTGATACATCTTTGCACTTTCACAAAGTAAACACTTAAGTTCTTGGATCCTTAGTATACAAGCTCTGTTGTGTTAGGCACTGGTACTGAAAATGTAGCAAACTTGAGATGCAGAGCGAACTTGTTACATCAAAGCTACGTAACCTCTTCAAGTCAACTGAAAGCATACGTCTATAGTTTATTGAACATTAAGAGATGCTAGATCGTCTATGGGTTAAAGCGCTACATAATAAAATACATATTATAGGTATAGAAGCTCCAATTAAAGACAGTGCTGCTTAATAAAAAAAAATAATCGAAATATATATATATATATATATATATATATATATATATATATATATATATATATATATATATATATATATATATATATATATATATATATGTTATCTCACCCTATTGCATTGAACTCCCAACACATGAAAGCGAAATTAGATGTCTCTGCGACATTCATGATTTAATTTTTAATTGGATAATATGCAATACTATCCCTAACAAACATGCATAGCTATTTATGTAAATTTGATTTCAGTGCAGTTAGATAGGTCTATAGATATTGCTTGCACTGATTGCAAATGCAAAACACGATGAGTATTTCACAAATCTGATCCTTAGTCTGTCTATTTTCAGCATCACCAATAAACAGTGCACTTTTTTGTGATAACCTGTGCATAAAATAAAAATAAATCAGAGACTTTCATTTTTAACATGGAATTTTATTTAGGAATTATTCACAAGTAGTTGATCATATCTTCAACGTCTTCCGTGCTGCAGATACATTTGTATCTATTTCTTCCTGGGCATGATAGAGACAGTTGACAGTTACCGATAGGATATCCCCTTGTTGTGCAGTACCGGAAACACGACATATTATAATCACACTGGGCTAGGCTATAACAAGATCCACTAATGGTTTTAGAAGAGGCCAAATCAGGGACCAGGACTGTCAATAACAGAATAGCAAGGAGGGAGATCGACGTAGTCTTCATCTACATATTAAAACATACAAAAGTGAAAATTGACTTTCAAAGATCTTATTAGGTAAATAAATGTTTTAGAGAGATACATTATAATATTTTGCTTCAATTTTGTATCAGCAATCCTAGTTGTGTTTTTAAAATATTTAGTTGATAACATAGAATTGAAATTGTGCAGTGGCTCAAGTTTTTAAAAAAAAGTAATAAAATAGGGAATAAAGATTTGGAAAAGTAATAACTACAAAAAAAATGCAACAGCAGACATTTGTTTCGTGAAGAAATAGAGAATTTAAAATCAGATTGATATTAAAAATGTAAAACAAATAATGTGTCGTTTAAGCTAAAATGGAGTCTATGAAATGTACAGAAAAATAAAAAACCCAGTTACCTTCCAAATACACGATCAGAAGCAATTACCAAGGATGTTTTTGTGTTATTTAGTTTACAATTATGATCCTTTTATATGTTTTTTTTAATGCACTATTACTATTCTCAAACCTGCTTTGTCACGTCGGTCAATCAACTTGACACATTTAGTTGTAGTGATTGATCAAAAAACCTGTTTTCAACAGAGAAAAGATGGATGGAACTGTAAAACTGAGTAAAGTACTCACTTTTCCCCCCAGGAATGCACTCCTACACCAATTAGTAGCACCACATGTTATTTGGTAAATACGCAGTATTTTAAAATGCAACAATTTGGCATTATTGGCACAGATATGATCAAAGTTAATTTGTAGTTTTAAAGCTGTTTTGTAATTTTATGTTTTGAGATATTTTTTTACATGTTAGTTTAAACAATGCATTTTCTATAAAGATTAATGCAACTATTTATTTGTAAAGATTGCAAATTAATTTATTAAGTATGTATTTACCTATATCTATCAAAATATTTCCAAAAACGTAAAATATAAATCTATAGGGTTTAGAACTGACATTTTATTTGAACATTTTTAAACTTGAAATATATTCATATTTCAACATTTTAGTTATTTATATTGAATTTATTAGTGACAGTAAAACAAAAGTTTATTAAACTAGGATGAATACTTATGGTGTACCAAATACAGTAACTTTATAACTGGAAAAGAGTGTTTAATTCTATGAACTATAATCATTTTGATTGAACAAATTGGATTGTGGTACAGTGAGCTATAATTATATTAATTGTTTTGTGATGAAATTGGTCAGAATAGACCAATTAAATACACGGATACTAAGTATAAAATTTTTCGGAAATGCAAAGTTACAATTAATATTTTTGACTAAGAGCAATAAAATTGGGAACTTTGAAGTATATATGTACATGTAAAAGGGTTACGTTCTAAAACTCTTAATGTGATGAGATGGACTAAGCCCATCAATATAATAAAATGGTGAATATACCTTGCTTCGAGAGTAGTGCCAAGTTGGAGTTTATTGGTCAACGGACAGAACTAAGGAGAAAGCGAAGCTGACAAGGCAAGATAATGAAAAGTGATCGAACTAAAAAAAACACAATCAATACAAATTTGTGAACAGAGCATAAAACACGGACCCCAGGAAATTCTTGAAGTGGAATCAGGTGCCTAGGAAGAGTAAGGACCCCCTGTTTACCCGTCACACCCGCCTTGAGTTCTATGTGTTGATCAGGTAGACGGAACATCCCGTAATCAAATTTTGCATAAAAACAAAGGCCCTATAATTGGTATGAAACACGTCAGCAAAAATACGACCCAATGATAGGTTATATTTGCTAACAAGGTCATTATATTGACCATATAATTTAGGAAATGCTGGTGTAAACGAGATTGTCGAAATCCCTGTAACATCAACGTACAAATGTATACGTAAGTAGCCTGTCTCGGCTTAAATCCAGATCGTTTTCGGAACATATATACTCTTGAGTACTCTTGAAATGGAAGACTTAAACCTCATATGCATTTGATAGCGGGATATCGCTACATAAATAAGGAAAATTAAAAATTGAAAAGCTGCACTCATTTGTCATACAATTTAGTTGTTAGTTGGCCTTTATCGTCTATAGCCAGTAAAACATCCAAATATATAACAATTGTGGTAGATTTTCTGGTGTCCTTTATTTCAAGTTCACTGGGATATCGATTCGACATATGAATGGAATTGCTAAGTAATAAAACGTTGTCGATATATCTAAATGTCGCATTGAAGGACACGGCAAGAGTTTTCTTCTTCTCGTATAGAAGTTTTTGAATAAATCTTCTTCATCGGAATATAAAACAAGTTAGCTATTAAAGGAGCATAATAAGTGGAATTCCAGTAGTTTGTTGGAAGACCTGGTCTCCAAAGCCTAGATAAATGTTATCAAAGAGGAGCTCTAAAATCCTTTTAATATCAGTGTCAGAGTACTTTTGTGTAGAATCAGAGTGATTTTTAACAAAGTTATTTTGTTGATTACCGATTACATGAAATGAAAATTTCGGTGTTCAATTTTTATTGAAGAAGAAGTTGTCTATGGTATTAACAAGCCTATTTTTTTTTTTTAATTTTTTTTATGAAGAATAGCTGTATAAAGAGTTAAAAATTAAGACAGCCAATGAAATGCATAAATACTCTTGTGGCCAGAAAACCAGATCTTCTGGACTTCGTTGACCCTCTTACCAATTTACTCATTTTGGTTTTGACTCTCAGCTCTTATATAATTCAGGCTTTTGACTATTTTGGATTTATATTATAAACTGTTGTTTATACAAGTGATAAATGTCAAATTGAAGGTGGGAGTTTCAATTCATTATGCCTCAAAAATGTTAGATCCTAGTCTGCATACGCCACGTTTATTATAAAAAATAGCCACAAACTCAACTTTGGGCATTGAACATAGGGGATTACAATTGAAAAATAATTTCAATCTAACGTAAGTTATAATTGCTTTTCAGATTTACATTCCAGGCTTTCGTCTATAATTAGTATTGAGAATGATGAAGGAAAAAGGCGACAATACTTTTAAACCCAGTGCAATCAATTCTAACAGAATTGAACCCAAGAAATTAGGTAATTGTGGATTGATGATTTAATCCAATAATTTACAATTTACGAATGTTAACCTATAGAGTAATAGATATTTTATTTAAACATTTTACGCAATTTAAACTTGGAATATATTTATATCATATTCATTTTAGTTATTAATATTGAACTTATTAAACCAGAATGGATATTAATGGTCACCAAATACCGTGACAATTACATGTATAATTATAACTGGAAAAGAGACTTCAATTTTTTGAATCATAATTATCTTCAGTTGATGGAACAAATGGGATTTTGATGTCGGTACAATGAACTACAGTTGTATTTTTGTAAATTGATTTGTAATGAAATTAATGAGACCAATCAAACCTTTCATGTCGGTCTATTCTAATGACATTGTAGGAATTACATTTAAAACTTTATATGATCACAATGAACTTTTGAAATACATACAAAATCTTGTTATTGTCTTACAAAAGCAACGTATATTTATCAAAATAGAATCACCGACTAATACTTAATGTGAAAAACGACATTTTGCAATAACTCTAAATAAAAATACTTGATTTAACTAAAGTTTATAATGGTTATTTATTGAAAGTATACTGTTGCATTATTTTTTTTTTTCTTAAAAAATAGTTTTTTTATGTAAGTATATCCTAGTTGTTTTACTATGAATTGCAAATTGTTAAATTTATTTTCTTTAATATTACAGAAGGATATATTAGTTATGATTTTTGATTATGGATGGGCTCTTTAAACCATCAAGTGTGTCGGAGGATAATTCTGACCCGACCCGTCGGTTTCTTTAAATGTGCACTCAAAGAAATATATGCTGTAAAAATTAGTAATATTCTTAATCACAAAAAAAAGTTAAGTCTTGCATTCCACCATATTTCAAGTTGAGGTCTACACCCTACATTTCCTATAGATATTCACAAACTGTTGCGTCCAAACTTATCAATTATAAACAAACTCTACAGTGCCTAGATATTGAACATCTAAAACAAAATCCTCTTAAGTGTTCTTGCTCTTCTTCGTCTTTCAACTACAGTCCCGCTGGAGGAGTCATCACTGGTGATGTTAATATAGTTGAAAATGAAGACCACCTTAAGGCAATCATTGTAAAAAGTCCTAAATAAAGGGAGCCTCGATTTTTCAATTGGCTTCAGAACTTTATTTCCATTATGAATTCTGTGGAAGATTATTCCAAACGTTGGGCTAAATATGAAAAAGGAAGACCTGAACACTCTGTCAGAACGGATTAGGTGTTTTAGAAATATATTAAGAATTTGTATTAGAAAATTAAACGACAAAATGCGAACAATTTACCCTTCCATTTTTTCTAAACCAGAAGTAATGAAAGAGTTAAAGCGACTGTACGAAAAAATATGGTATATTTCCAGTAGACAAGACTTGTGACAATATCATCTTTGTTTGTTAGGTTCATTATTATAATTGTATTTTGGAAAAACTTGGTTTTAATTCTACGTCTGTAAATCATACATATACTCACAGTTCATTTTCCAAAGAAGAAATTCTTCAAAATCATATTTCAATGTTAAGTGCTTTTAATATACCAGTCAACCAAGGTGAGTTCGATCTACCCAACTTGTATAGATTTCTAAACTTCATAAAAATCCTTACAAACAAACATACATAGCCAGGTCCAGTAAATACTCTACCAAGCCCTTATCTTAACTCCTTATAAATATTAACTGCGGTAAAGGAGAAAATTCAGACGTACTGAGCTACAGCTTATTCTAGAAGTGCGCAGCATTGTTAAGGCGTACTTCGAAGAAATCAACGGAATATAAACGTTCATAAATACATACCTTTTAAACTGAATTTATTTTTGTAAAGGTACTATATTATCTCATGACTTTTGATATTATTCGAAATAAAATTGTATACCCCACTCTGTACTGACTTTGGTTTGGTCACGTTATTTGACAGTCACGTGATAAATGCATGTAATGTGTACTGTATGTAGGTCACAAACAAATTTCAATATCGCAAGGGCATACCCTAGTTAAAATTAAAAATTAAAGTAATAGATTGTTTCTATATAACTTGTAGTTTATGGAAAGTGCTGCTGCCTTAAATAGAATTCGTACTTTATTAGTTTAAATTTCAAGTTATCTTGCTAATGTCGAAATATGTGTGACCTTTACCAAGTATTTTATGTATTTGTTAAGTTATGCTATCGATTTCAGGAAAGCCACAGCACTTTTCAAGTTAAGGAATATGTCCGTTATGTGTATTCAAAAAATGGTCAAGATCTATTAAGTGTATGTCCTTGCGAAAAGGCGATTTAATGAGGCACCTCAGCGTGAAACATGCACACCTAAAGACAAAAATACGGTAGAACTAATTCAATACATTCTCTCGATATTTTTTAGATAATGGCAATAAACAAAGGTAGCAGATTTGTATTAATAGTCTACCTAAGATTTGCA